AAATTTTCTTATAAGTTTTTCATCAATATTTATATTTTATTTCAGCTTTTTCAGTTATCGAAAGCAATTTGTAATAGTTTTAGTTTTAGTTAACAGTAACACTGATATGGTGCGACCAACATACAAAAAAAAACATAAAATAGTAAATTTATATCAGTACAACCCATGCGGACACTTGGAATTGTTTGTGAAAGTCAATAAGCCTAAATAAACATTTGTTAATAATCCATGATATTTCTAATAAAGTTTTTTTTTTAAATTCTCCTTATATAAAATGTTTTAAACTAGATTTTTTTTAAACTAGATGTTAGAAGATTTTTTCATTTTCTTTATGGTGGACACCCTTGTTAGTTATAGACCCAAGTCTTAATTTAAATGCTACAAAACTAGAAAACTGACTGTTTGAGGGTTGTGGTAAGCACTTTTGAAAATAGGTCAGTGCATGGTTCGCACTAAAAATTTGTTAACGGAAAGCGTACATGTGGTAATTTCCATTTCAGAGTGGAGAGGCGGACACTCTAACTAACAGGTTAGCAGAGGCTGAGAAAGCTCTGGCCCTGAAACAGGATCTCATCGATAAACTCAAGGAGGAAACGGAGCAGCTGAGAGCTACATTAGAAACTATACCGGTGCTGAACGCTCAGGTAAAAATAAGACCTGCACACTCATGTTACAGAGCTCTGCATTCAAATAATTACTTACTCTGCCTTAGCCTGTTATAAATACTCGTTTTACATACATGCTGCATATAATAACACAAACACAATCACACTTTTTATTTTTGCAGGCAGAGATCTATAAGATGGACTTCCTGGCTGAGAGGGAAGCCAGAGAGAAACTCAATCAAAAGAAGGAAGAGTTGCAGGAGGGGCTGAGTAAGGCATTAGTCGAGATAGACAGACTCAAGCAAGAAGGAACTTCACGGTACGAAAAGAGATGGACAGAGTGACTACTATATCATATATGTTATTGAATGTTATTGTTTTTATTTTTTTATTTATTGGTATCCATCATATTGTATGTTCAATTGCTAATTTCCTTTATTTTTACATTTAGATGACCTGTCCTATCATATAATGTTACTTATTAAATTATTATTGTTTTTAAGGATTAACTAATAGGGGTGTTACAGATCATAGTTGTTCCATGATCTGTATGGAACAGACCTCACGGTTCAGCATGTGACTCGTGGATTAATTGCAAAGTGAAAAAGCGAAAGTTTATCATTTTCACATGTTTTTAAGTCTTGCCAAACATTCAAACGATTTTAAACCAGTCAAGTGCAAGAAGGTGCAAAAGAGAACTCGGTTTGAAATTCAAGCACCAAATTCTCTTTTTGTCTTCTTGTGCTTGAACAGACACACACACAACATTATCTTGGTGAATATCCTTGTAAACACGGTCGGTTATTACGTAGGTGACCGTAAACAGTTGAGAAGGAAAATCGGATGTGTAACATTATATTGGATCCTTACATTTGGTCTTAAAGTGACAGGAGCCTAATTTACCTGGTGCTGTCTATCATTAATGTTAATCAAACATTAATTATGTTTTTTTACTGAAATCTACTAAGTGATTCTTTACTGAATCACTTAGTAGATTTAACAAAGATTCATCTGTATTTAATTTATACAGTGAAGACTATGAAATGTTATTTTACATTTGAATCTGCATTAGTGCTGTCAATCGATTAAACAATTTTTAACTAATCACATATTTTTTCTGAAATTAATCGTGATTAATCCCACCTAACATTAAAG